CTGTTGTTGCGAGTTGCCATTCGTTCTACTAAACCATTAGTCAAACGCCATCATGCCTTCTGTCGTTATTACACAAACAAAAATCTCTTTACTGTTACTAGTGTTAGTGCCTCCATATGGCTACGCTCGTGAAAGCAATACAACGAACTCAAACGCGTCTTCGTCCAATGTTGTCAACTAATATCCGGATTGATTTTATTTTCCTCAATTCTCCGGAGAAATGTTCATAAAAATTTGAAAAACCCGGAATTCCGGGAAAATCCGGAGGACTTTCATCTCTGATTTTTTTTGGGGGGGGGGGGTGATTGGGTATCCATTAGTTACAAACTACAATAAATTGAAATAATTGCTTGTTTTTTTTTATGTTTTGATAAAAACATTTTTTAAAAAGTTCACAATTACTCATACCCACTTTCGCAACACACACATATTGTACGTTCTAAATTTAGATTTTGCTCGATTCCTTTAGCAAAGATTACCTTCACCAAAATTGTCTGTTAAACTCTGGCAGGAGTAATTTTCAATCCATTAAAATCTATTAAATTTGAAGTTTATTAGTCATGGCGATTTACTGTATCATTTTAGAACAAAAGATACCAATTAAACACGTAAAAAAAGTGTGTGCTTGCAAGAAGTGATGTCAGTTCTGTCGGGACCTTGATGATGGAGGCAGGAAATCGATCTGGGCCAGACGGGACCAGGACTGGCTGGGCTTCGGCGAGTCGTCAACACGCAGTATCGCCCCAGAATTCATTGTGTCCGAATTACACAATAACGCCTCTCCCGGCCCGTGACTGCCAGAAATTTCTGTTGCTGCAGACATTATGCAATGTTCGCCGGTGTGACAAAAACGAAACAGACACGTTTGTTCTGCTTTGTTTTGAGTGTAAATATATCACTGGTTAAACAGCGGGTCTGAGCAAAAGCGAAATAATCGACGTAACAGGCTGAATGAAGACAATGTAGGCATTGATTCTGGTACATGACATCATTGCCTCGCTTACTCAGACACTGGCGGATGAGGCTTGATCGACGCCCTAAAAAGTCTACCTTTTAACAGCGTGAGACACAACTGGAAATGAAACGAAAGCGTTGATAAAGAACTTTCTGTTTGGTTACAATACAACAAAACATACGGACAGTCACTATCGTTGTGACATAGTGAACCCAACCCCGTTTTTTGGTTGCAACGATGTGTCGCAATCCGTAAACTCTTGTCACTGGTAACGAGGCCTACGTGACTTTACAGAACGAACACGCAACCCAAACTCTCTCCGTTCTTATCCATTCCAAAGTGCTGCATAATTAAAAACACGAGTAAGGGTCCGTTCTTTGTTCATAAAACTTGCTGATGGCAGCCAGATGATACAGTACATACTTGTATAACATTACACTTCTCACAGGCTAAGGCTTTTCTTTTATTTTGGATAACAATTAGGTTACTTTCAGTTGATAGTGTTAAGACAGAAATTCACTCATACAATAAACAGCGCCCTTTGGGCATACATCGAGGCACATAAACCGAAACAAATAATTCACATAACACTTGGTAGGTACGGTTTTTAATTCGATACTCACATTCTTACTGTACCTTGTCGCTAGTTGAAATTTGCTGGTGATATTACAGACGTTGTCCTGAACGAAGACGTCAAACATCACCGAGGTATTTATCCTCCCAAACGTGAGAAAATATTTGGGTCGACTACATTTTACAAAGAGAAGAGAACCACGTTCTCTTCTGATTTTTTTTTCCTTTCACCAATGTGCCTTCTGACTCATGGATCTGTGTTAGTAGGTCAGGAGTTAAGAGCATTGGCAGTGTGCGGTTGATTGACAAGCAATTCAGCCAATCACATTGCTGAAGTTTAGAATTCCAACCAATGACTTTCGTGAAAACTTGAGGGCTCAAATAAGATATGATGTCGTCACAATACCAGCAGTGGAGCGACCATAAAACAGTCATGAGTAAATACACACCTCCATGTTAATTCAAAACCTCAGTGTGTATGGTTGGTTTAAAATAAAAAGTTAAGATAAACGTTGAATCGTTAGAACACCAGTACAATGTAAGGTAAAGTGGAACATGATTCTTGACATAATGATTGTTACAAATCAACTGAATTGAGAATTCTAACTTGATAAATATCTTGAATACTTATTTTAGGTACCACAAATTATAAACTAAATTGTAAGTTTGACTCTTTTTAAAATGTAAAAACTTAAAAATAAACAAATGAATTGGGAATTTCAGGCCATTCTCTATCCCTTTCTCCAGTCAGTATTAGGATGTTTGTTGTTGCATTTTTCAAAGACGAATGTAACAACAACAACAACAACAACAACAACAAAATCACATTTTGATTATCTGGGCTTTAATCTGAAATGCAGCCTTTGTGATAAGACATTATGTTGACATACAACCCTGCATTTACTGCAAGTAGAAATGACCAAAATTTTGGATTTGTCCATTCCTTTAAAATGTATTATAGCGCGTCCAAATGGTATTTTACACTTTCCATTTAATTTGATCAGTAATCATTTAAACTTGGTTCTAAAAATTATAATAATCTAACACAGGGTTTGTCAAACTCATTTTTGACGGGCCACTTTGGAGTTACGTCTTCCCTCAGAGGCCTGTTATGACATAAATGTTTATTCGTATTATCACATTTTACTTGTACATAACAAATTAATGGATTACTGGTTTTGAAATCAGTCAACTATCAGTTTGTTCTTTTATTGTTCGAGTGAATGTAAACAGAGTAACAAATTATTGCAGAATCTCAACTTTATCTATTACACATGACAATTGGACATTTCGGTACAAATTTTAGCAAGGATTAATCAAATTGACACAGATGATTTGCTTTTGGGGGCCGCATGGAGGATTCTCACTTGTACATCAGAATTTGGATTTTATTCTTAGAATTCTCACTTTAAAAACACACGTGCATATTGATTACTTTAAGAACACAAACAAATATATATTCTCCAAAGTAAAAGTCTACTTTAGAATTAGAATCTTTGTCATTGCATTATGTCAGAGTGCAACCCCAAAAGTCCTTAAACATTATCAAAACGATTTGAAAATATATTTTTTTCCCAAAATGAAAAAATGGCATGCTTTCATAGAATGGCCCAGCACTAACAACTACTTGCAATTTATTTTTGCTTGCAGTGGAATCCTCTTATATCAAAGCCTGTTTCCTTCCTGACAGATGAGCTGCTGCTGCAGATGGTTCACTAGCGAATTTAAAGATGAAGAGGAAAATCACAAAAAATTTGGCAGTTTGCTTTTTGTCGTTTTTCACATGGGCCAGGCCAGTATGAGACATCTGAGCATGATAAAGCAGATGACGGAGAGTCCAGGAGTCAATTTCTGGAGGGGTATATACTGCACCTTAAAGGGTCACGCCTTCACATATTTTGATGTAAATATTTTAAGGTGTAAGTGTATGGAAAAAAACTCCCAACCAACCACAATGAAGCAGTTTTTTCCCCCCAAAATGCTCTTTGTAGTTTAAAAATTGTATTCTATGACATTGCGATGCCGTTTTGAATGTAATTGTTCATCCCTGGTTGTGGTAATTATTTCTTTTAATGCACTATAGTAACTGTTGTTGTGTCAGATTCTCCGCTATGATGAAGTTTGATCAACAAGTGAGTCATTTAAGAAGAATTTATTAAACATTCCATAGTTTGATGTACACAATGGTAAAGTAAGTGGAAAAACAGCTTATAAAAATCATGCATCTGGCGGGGGGACAAAACATCAGGTTTAGCAATGTTCTATTAAAAAAAAAAAAAAAAAAAAATCAAACTAAAGAATATAAATTACAAATCTGTGCAATGTGGTGTGAAAAACAATGTTACAAAAATCAGCCCAGTGAACAATAAGACGTATGTGTGGAGGGGGGCAAAAAAAAAACCAACAAAAAAAACAAAACAATTCTACGATTTCACGAGCCTGGTTATTAATATTATAAACTGTAAAATATAGCCTATCACAGAGTCAAAACACAATTTGTTCATTTGAAAAGAATACTTCTTTTCCTCCTACACATATCTTTTATTCATACATTCGTTGGCTCTATGGCTGTGGCCAATGTACAAGCACCACTGGACAATAACATCCATAAAAATATGAAATGATCTTCAAGAGGCGCAAAGGAATGCACAAGCAAATTCTTCAAAGTCTTTCGCTATTAAACTGAGTTGCAGTTCTGTTATTTCTGAAACTGGCATATTCCCCTTTAGATTGAGTGAGGCTTTTAAAGATAGAAACAGCATCTTAGGTGGGAAGGTTATTCGTTTAGGATATGAACGCTGGCGGGACAGTCACCAAATAAGTATCCTGGCTCGCAGAAGCCCATGTTTGTTCATCAAAAGACAGTGTGACTTGGTCAGTAAAACCTTCACAAAGTACATAAGGGTGAATAATTTGTTGGTGTATGTTGCACAGCAACATTGGAAAAAAACAAAACACGGACTGTAGTGTCCTTCGGTTTAAAAAGTGAGATTGGAAAACAAAAACGTGAGTCACTACTGAGAAAGTCTTTGTCAACATTCAGTCACCGTCACTGGAAATCGCTCCTTTTACTTCATGCTGCTTATGAAAGCAGGCAAACATAAGTTTTGGGAATATTTCACACAGAAGCCAACCTATGTGTCTGACAACTCGATCATCAGCTCATCAGTCTGTTGCTCGTTATCACCCAGTAATTCTGTTTCGGGCACTGCCAAGTGCTCATTTTGTTCGAGCTCCATCTGGGACGCCCTGTCAACCGAGTCCTCGTGGTTGGTCTTGGAGTCCTCATTGAGTAAGGCTGCTTGCTCCGCCATCGAATTGTTAGAAGGAGCCGTGGTGACGTAACCTGTTGATGTGGAGCCACTGCCGCTGTGGTGTGAACCGGCTTTTGGAACCATTTGTGCTGGGTGGTGGACCTGCTGGTGGGGCATGGGCATGGGTATTTGCATGGGGTAAAAATTCTGCATGTATTGGTAGGCTGGCATAGGGTGATAGCCATTGACGGGGATGTACAGCTGCGGGGGGACCATCGGCCGATGCATTTGACTCTTCATTGGCAGAAACTGAGGCGGATGGAAGGGCACGGTCTTTTTTGGGCTCGTGTAACGCGACGCATTCGCCGTGCTCATGCTGATATTGCTTACGGGGCTGGTGCTGAGGGAGCTGGTCTGGGTAGTGTTGCTGGTACCCGACGTTTGAGCAGAGTTATTATAATTTGAAAGGCTTTCCCAGGAGCGCAGACGTGTGTGGATGTCTTTGAAGCGAGGCCGCCTTGCCTGGAATTCACTCCAGCACTCCAGCATAAGGGTGTATATCCAAACCGGGCAGTCATCGGGACACTGCAACACCTGGTGGCTACGCACCATCTCGATCACGTCGTGGTTGGAGTAGCCACAATAAGGCTGTAGACCATAACTGAAGGTCTCCCAAAGTAAAACGCCATAAGACCAGATATCCGAGTCCGTGGAGAACTTGCCATACATTAGTGCCTCCGGGGACATCCATCGAATAGGGAAAGGGCTTGTCCCCATCAGATTGTAGTAATCAGCTGAATAGACATCTCTGAAGAGGCCGAGATCGAGGATCTTGATGCTTAGCTTGTCAAAAACCAGAATGTTTCGGGCTGCGAGATCTTTATGAACAACCTGGTGGCTAGAAAGGTACTCCATTCCGGCCGCGATCTGGGTAATGATATGAAGGAAATCAGCCTGTTCCAATGTGGATTTTACCGTCCGGTCATCATCTGAGCTGCCAACATCTGAGTTGGGAGAGCGCACCACAAGATACTCGTGCAAATCACCAATGCTTGAATACGTGAATATGATACTTTGTGGCTGCTCTTTGGTGATGGTACCCAGAAGACAAACAATATTTTGATGCTGAAGGTGAGAGCGCAGCATGGCCTCGTGACGAAATTCCTCAATAAGAGCGGGATCAACCTTGTCCTTCAGGGTCTTGATGGCCACCACATGGGCCTGCTCACCAGGTGCGGTGCCGTATAGATGGCCTTTGTAAACTTTGCCAAACCGATCCTCACCAAGCTCCTCCATAAATCTTACAGCTGACATGTTGAGTTCCCTCAGCTTCGCCTGCCATAAAACAAAAACAAACAATCAAATTCAGGTCCTTGAACAATACGGCCAAAGATACAATTAGTCAGAAAAAGTTAAAATGTGAGATATTTCTTCTGTATTTAACCCTTTCCTGCACCCTGTAACCTGATAACATGATAAGATGTCCACTGTAGTAACCGCTGTCCCTGAAAGGGTTGAAACAGTTCCCGTGGGTCTAGATCAGTGGTTCTTAACTTTTTTAGAGGTACCGAACCCAACCAGTTAGCATGCACATTCACCGAACCCTTCATGAGTGAAAAATAAATTAATTAATATTTTTTTAAATAAATTCAAGACATTAAAAAAACACATTTATTAAAAACAGAAAAAAGCAAATAAAATTTCAAGAGACAAGTACACTTTTTAAAAAACAATTGTACGACATACTATCACGACAGTCACACGTTGACTACTAAGCGAACTAAATTTCCCACGGCACTGATTGGACAAGCAATGTCATGTGATCATCTGCAGCCAGTGATGGCCAAGCGGACGTGTCATAACTAATTAACATGTTGAGTCGCGTGTGTCTTACCCTCCATGGCAGAGGCTCTGTCGAACCCCTGTGACCGACTCACCGAACCCCTGGGGTTCGATCGAACTCAGGTTACGATCCACTGGTCTAGATAAACGGTCTAGGACATTGCATCCATCCATCCATTTTCTCATCCACT